GTCCCTTCCAACACAAACCACTCTGCGATTCTATGATAATTAACATGACGCTCTTTTCCCCAAAGGGAGTTTTGGAAATAAAAGTTCTCTGATTTTTGTCAGCCTTGACCTTGCACTGAAAAGCCCAACGCATGTGTATACACACACACTTGCAACCCTTTGAGCTCCTTTATTTTCTCTAGTAAAGCAAGTTGAGAGAGCTTTAATAAAGCAAGTTTAGCAAGTTTGCATGGCGAAGCAAAGACAGACTACCTACCAGAGGTGAGCGACTGTTTCTATTTGTTTACTTTCTAACCTTCAGAGCATCTCCTCCATGAAAGTGATGCAGTTTCAGGGCATGGGGAAGAAAGCTACCCCCATTTCTCTGCCGCCTGTAGAACACTATGACCTGACGCCTAGTCCTGACGTACCTTTTGCAATCATGAAACGAAAGCTAATGGCTACCAATGACATTTATGAGGTTAAGAAGATTGCTGCAGAGATGAAAACATACCTGGAGGTAAGCAAAAACAAGTTGGAACTACACATCAGGTCAGATTCATTTCCGTCATAAGCAGTGGCAGATGTAACACCCCTGAAGCCAATGGGATTCCTTCCAATTTCTGAAAATTACAACAAAATTACTCTTCAGACTGGTAACCTCTAGCTGATGGTTTACTCTTCCTTTAAAATGCCGGGACCTGTTCCACAAGGTACATTCAGTAGTGATTATGTACGCAAATGTGGGCAAATACAGGAGTTGGTCTTACAGCTTTTATTGCCAGGAAATTCCTCATATGCGTCCTTAGGGATTCTTCTTGGGAGTTACTCTTTGGTATTAGAGAAACTCTTGTCTCAATAGAACTCAAGTCTCCTAAATCAAATAGCTCCTGAATAATGGTAGCCAGTATTGGTGGTGTTGGCATTTTCTTTCTTCTGGCTAAACACTAGAAGGACAGAGAGTGACTTTGAGTGCCAGGAGTCTGACTTGACTTTGTCTCCCTAGTTTCATTTGTATGTTAAGAGAGGGGTCCAAAAGACTGTGCTAATAATAAATGGCAGAATTAGGTTCCTTAAAGAGCCCAAGAGTTGAGGGAGATTTAAAGAAAGAGAAGTTTCATTCAAAGTCTTCAGATTAGGTTTAAAAAAAGGATGTTTTAAGTTCGTGTTGTTTTTTGTGCAGGTGAAAGAATTTATCCAGGAATCCATGCGAAAGATAATCACCTTAATAACCGGATCAAAAGAACAGACTGACCAAATTCTGTCAGACAGATTGACCATCAGCAATTATGACTGCTACCAGTCAGCGGTGAACCACTTCAAAGCTCATTGCTTCAACTGGCACTTACCCTTGGTAAGTCATGTATTAGATATAACCTGATAAATGTACTGGTGAAACAAGCACAGTAGTCCTAAGTACGTCTGCAAAATCAGCTTCTATTAAAAAGCTAGCTTGGGGGCAGTCATACAGCTGAGAGAAAGGGTAAGTAATGTTTTTGGAAGCAGGAAACCACTTCCACTACACCTGTAGGTAAGCAAGAATATTACTAAAAATACTTCTAGTAAAAACAAAACCAAAATAATCCTTAACTTTTACTAGTTAGTGCTGTCCCTTCATCAACTTCCCCCCACCAGAAATCGCGATATTAAGTCCTGTTGTATTTCGGCTTGAAGTGTCTCTGCTGGCAAAGCAAACACAAGCACCACCACTGTGAATTCATAATCCTGGTACATTCAGATTTCTGTATTATGACTGCATGTTGCCTTGTTCCTTGCAATAGCCTAGCTACTACTTCTTGGTCTTGTTGAGTTCCTGAGAGCCACTTCATAGTTTAGGGGTTTTATTACCGTCTGCTCTTCTTGGGATCCCATTTGAGGCCCACATCCTGTTGTGCTAAGCACAGTTTAGACAAGAATAGGAGAGGTCAGCTCCTATTCCAGCAAATGCAGTCCTGATGTCAGGCAAGATAATCTAAGCAGGCGGTGGTAAGATGAGTCAACTGCAAATTAATTGATTTTAGCAGAAAGCAATGGGATTACCTGGCAGTTCGCCAAGATTTAAGCAAATCAAAAGCAGATGCACTCCTTCAGCTGGAGCTTCTAATCAACCAGGCTATTAGGAGGCCACGTTGCTCTGTTAAACTTTTAGTTCCTCTTTCGTGGTTTTTTGTTTGTTTGTTTTGTGGGCTTTTTTGAAGGAAATTGGTCATCAGGATGAACCCTGCCTAAGGGGCCAGTGTGTAGCAACAGCTGAATTTACCTAACGAAGTGCAAAGAACACAGAAGAAGGATCTGTTTAGCCTAGTACTAGATTGTTAAGACCATCAATTAAACACCTTGAATATTAATAGCACCTCTAAATTACTTCCACAATTTTGTTTGCATAAGCAGTACTTGCTCTTCATCACTGACACTGTTCTCAACTTTTGTTTCTTTCAGTATGAGTATGCACTGAGTCAGCTGTATGCCTTGGTCAACGTGTGTGAAGGAGGATACCCCACTGACAGGTAACGAGCCTCCCAGAAACACTAGTTCTATCTGTGGCTATCTGTGGCTGAAAAAGCAGGAGCCAACAGGCTGATGAAGCTTAATGCTAAAAGCTTCTCACTGCTCTGTTCGCCATTTTGTCGGTAAAGTTCTCACTCAAAAGTTATGGAATTCTTTTGGAAAACATATTATTATTAGTCCCCTCCCACTCATAATGATCCATTTTCCACAGTAACCCTTTAATTTTCTTGTTGAAGGCCCTCAGGGGAAATTAAAGCCAGTCAGAAGATCCCACTGCACCACGTAACATAAAATAGCATGACTGGTGCCTGGGTGTTGCCCTGTAACTCCTGTACGATCTTACAACATAAGGTGTTGGAATTCTGTCCTGGGACTTGCGGTAGAGAATGGGATCCCAGCTTGTGAGTCATGCCAGGGGAAGAAAAGGGAGAGAGGAAAGCCAGGGCCAGGGAATAGGAGGGTGGACTGGCAGTTTAGGTGGCACGCACATGCAATCCGTACAGTGAAGAACTGCTATCCCCCACTCCTGGTGGCATCCCGTGTCAGGCAGTTCGGGAAGTAGTTTGAGAGCAAACACCTGAAAAGCTTCTCATCATTCTTGTTCTCTGTTGCAGAATATGCCGGGCCATGGATCACGTGTGCCTCGGGTATTGATGGAAACAACACTCCTTTGTATAACCCTTACTACAAGTGGTAACTTTTCATACCTGTAATAATCCAGACTTCACATGCATGCAGCGTGAAGAGAGTCAGCCAGTGTACTGGAGCTGTGCTGGGAGCCGAGGCACCTGACCGTGAGCACAACGGCACTGGCCGGTGCTCCCCCCTGCAACCTGCCTGCTGGCTTGGCAGAGGCTCGCTGGCCTCTGAGCTTTCAAGAGGGATGATTTGTTTCAAAGCGCAGTGCTCTAAGAATCTCTGGATGAACACTACAGGCCACCTGTCAGTAATTGCCAAGTCTGTGCTAAATTTTAACACCGAGTCATTAATTCTGGATTATTCTTTTTCCATACTATTGCTAACTATTAGGTTTTAAAAAAAAAGTTAAAGAATTCCATTACAGTGACTAATTTGCAGATTGGTTAAAGAGTGAAGAAGCCAAAGCTTGTTCTTTAAGCTTTAACTCCTTAACAGTTTAAAGAGTTGCATTCAAGAACTCTCACATGTGAACAACACAGTTAAACTGTGAACGGTCAAAGTCTTTGTGGGTAGAAAGCACTGTTTCCCAAAGAAATATCGAATGCTGTAAATTTAGCACCAGTATGCTTGAACTAAATGTATACACACACACCCCCCTGTGGGAAGTCATAGGGCACAGGAATTACCTGTGAAGAAAAATAAAGTTGACAGATTTACCAACCTACAGGGCAGTACCGTGTTAGACATTTTGTGTCTCAAAAATGCATGAGAGCTAATTAAATTTTATGATACAACATTAAAAGGTTATCTATCCCTGAAAGTCTTCTATAAGACAGGTTATCTAAAAAATCCAAAGCCCAAACCACCCAGAAACAAACCAGACCTCATTACCCCATCACAAAAGCAACAACAACAAAAAATATCAAAAGCCAAAAATCCCATTTGAAGGCACCACTCCTTATAGGTGACTCAGTAAATGATGAGCAGGGAGAAAATTAGAGGTTACGAGGTGATTCAAAATAGTTTCAGCTCGTCCATACCTTTTTACACACAGAGATGGGACACAGAATTACTTGTGTGTTAAAAATAGCAAAATTATCTCATCTCGGAGTGGAGGAGAAGAGAAATCCAGGATCTCCAGGATGGAGAGAGTTCTAGGAGCTCCACTCAGAAGTGGGGGTTGTCAGATGTGCAGCTGAAACTACTTTTACCTACAGAAGACCCAGATAAAGCCACGAGCACCAGCAGTTTCAGCTGTGTGCTGAGTCAGAGAAACCCTAGAGCACAGCTAGTGTCAGGATGGATGGGAAAAGGTAAAACTGTGTGGAATTAGGCTTTGCTGAATTAAGGAATGAAAGATTGCACCTTGGGGGTGTTGAAAGTTCAGATATGTGTTGCTTCTGAGTTGCTTCTTGTTTCTTTTCAGCTGTAAAGCTGTATTTTTTAGCAGAAATCTAAAAATAAGTGAGTATGAAATTCTTGAGTGCCTGAATGTGTTGCAGGTGTTCCCGATGGTAGGCGGAAGGGTTGGCCACACAGGGCAACTTTTAGGCAGTCCGGCTGCTATCAAGAAAGAGTGGACCAAGAACCCTTGATTACTTTGAAAGAATGGGCAAAATGACTCCTTGGGAGCCCAGTTTGAATATACACGTTGAATCTGCTAAGTTTTATACGTCTCGGCTTTTGGAGTTGTTCTCTGCCCTAGAAATCCAACCTACTTCCCGAGCACTTACCATCATCAGTTCATAGTTTTAACAGTTTTCTTCACCGTTTAGAAATGCCCATTTTATTCTATGCAGAAGAGGCTTTTGGTCTTTTGGATTTTCGTATCTAGAATGCAGAGGAGGGAAGAAAAGGCCCTCCAAGTTCTTCACAGATAGCATCACTTTGCAGCCAAGAGTCTCCAGCCATACTAAGTAGGTCTCAAAACGCAACTATCAGCAGAAAATTCAGCTGCCAGCACACATTTTTGTTTTCACACGTTACTGATGCCCAGGTGGCACTTGCACCTCACTGCCATCACATGCCCTAGCTCTCTGTCCCTTGTAGCTCTGAGGATGCAAAGCTGAAACGGGAAGGAGGGGGATTTTGTTCTGTCCGTTTTCCTGCTGCAAGAGTGATTTCCAGAACTTCACCATCCTAAATGCTACCCACGGCATTGTTACCCCAGGGATGTGCCAGAATGAAAGCGAGACGCAATCTGCTGAAGATGTCGTTGCACCCACGCTGCGGTCTGAGGTGCAGCAGGTTCTTTTCTGTGCCCTGCAAAAAGCATTAACGTGCTATTGAATTTCCAGTTCCTATCCAGAGACCCATTTCCTTTGCAGTCACTCAGGGAACAGCCCCGCAGAGGAAAATCCAACCACCTTCACCTGCACTGATCAATATATTTGTTTTAAGGCCTCCAAATAGCATCACGCAGGCTTAGTGCCTGCCTGGCAGGTGGTTTATTTTGGGATGGTAATAGGACCTGATGAGAAAATCATAGGATTGTGCAAGGTCAGTCTTGCGCCAGAGTATCTTGCGGTGTATTGTGCAAGCGCAGACACCCTCCCTCTTCCTGCAGGCACGCAGCTGCTCAGGCTGCTATTCCTAGAACGCCGGGATGCAGGAATGACGTCTGCAAAATACAGAAAACTCTCTGGTTCCCAGCAAATTGTCATCACCAGGAAGAACAGGGCAAAGTTGAGGAGGTGTTATTTACAAAAACCCTTTCCTGAGCAGAATATCTGTAACCCCGGGGAAGAGGGTCATTCGTACCAGCCCGGGCTTCCTGTCCTCCACCTCTTTCTTGCTGGGGACAGAGCTCAAGGACCTTTTCCCAGTTGTTCTATGCCAAATCTGCCATGTGTTTCCACCCAACACCCTGCTGCACGCAGCACCTTTGTGAGGACCTGGAGGGCAGGTGGCACCATCAGCCTCCGTAGTAGCCGGTATGCTATTTCCGTACAGTGCAAACTTATACGGACGCGGTTTTCTTCAGAGCACAGGCAACCACCTTCTCTGCTAGCAAGCAAACAGCAAGCAGCTCACCTGGAGTTGGAGATGATGCACTTTTTTAGAGATTCAGGTAAGTATTTTAGCTCTGTCCAAACTGAGCTGCGTTTTCTCTCACCAGGATGGCTTAAAGGCAAGTGCTGAGCAGCCGTGCCCACCTCAGGGCAGGAGGCTGGAGGCCTCTTGTTCCTGTGCTCAGCTTCTGCCCTGTGCGAACAGGGGTGGAGGAGCAGCAGAGGGAAAGACACTCACGCTAAAGTCCTGACTAAGCAGTGTTTCGTGCCAAGAGCTCAGGCTATTCTGAATCAGAGGCTGCTTACTTCCTAGGGAAACCATACCCTGAAAGAGGCAGGAGACAACAGAAAGATGCCGAGTCTGTAATCCTGTGCACGGCAGGCAGAGCTGGCTACTATCCCACAGCAGCAGCACCCAGCCAAGGAGGGTCTCTGGTGGGACAGGCAGGGCCTTCGCACCAGCTGGACAGGAGGAAACTGTTAAGTCACAGTGCAAGGGGTTGAAATGCTGGACCCAGCAAGACTGTGTGACCTCCGGTCCCGGAGACCGGCAGCACTGAAAGGATGAGCCCCTGAGCAGCCTCGGGAGGCAGCCCCACTGGGCAGGGATCGGACTGGCCACCCAGGGGTCCCTGCCAGTCCGAATCATGCCACAAGCCTGTGGAAAAAAGCCAGTCTTGTGCCGGGTTTTGAAGAACGGTTGGTGACTGATGCACAATGGGACC